TTTGTTTCAGATTGTATACGTTAGCAGGAACCCTAAAGATACGGCAGTTTCCTTATATCACTTCACCAAGGGGTTTGACTTATCGCCATTCGGAGTTCACAACGACTTCGCTAACAGCACCTTTCCTGAGTTTTACAAGTACTATATGCAGGGAAAATGTACGCATCATGTTGTTGTTGTTGTTGTTGTTATTCATTAATCCTCCTGTTACACGAGGTCATGGTCACAATGTATACACGCTTTGTATCGTTAGCTTCCAGTGTTTCCTCATAGTAAAACATTTACTTGCCTACAGTGCCGGCGTGCGTGCGTGCGTGCGTGCGTGCGTGCGCGTGTGTGTGTCTGCCTGCGTGAAAAACTATACACACGTCATATACATATTTGAACAAAAAAAGAAAGAAAAGAATATATATATACATAATATATATCAAGAATAAATGATAATAAGTAATTAGTAATTATTCCTTTTATATTCTCCTGGTAATATCTTGATAACAAGGATATTAACTTTTAACAGGTAATTACGGAGAATATTGGCAGCATCAAGTAGATTTCTGGGAACGCAGGCACTGGGAAAACATTTTTTTCGTTAAATACGAAGACATGAAAAAGGTAATTTGTATCTGAAATATCTCAGATTGTGTGCGTGCTAGATTCTAATTCTGATTGCAGTTCGCAGAGTAACTGTAACGCAAACATTCAACTGTGGTTCAAACTAAAGTACTCTGTCGGGTTTATTAAAACCAAACTACAGACGTGACAATTATTATTGGCTATTGCATAACTCGGCTAGAGAAAACAAGAAAAGTAAAATGCGATGTCAACACGTCGTAGACGTACATAATATAACTCTCTCTTGGTTTTAGGATCTAAAAGGCGAAGTCAGACGTGTCGCAAACTTCCTTGGCAAGATTTTGAGCGAGGAGAAGATTGACAAGATAGTCGAAGCTACGACATTTAGCAGCATGAAGAGGAACAACACGGTTAACTACACTGGTATGAAAGCAGCCAGAACGCAGGATGCGACACCATTCATGCGGAAAGGTATCTTACCGCCATCTTCCTTTTACCGTACAATCGCTACATATAAGGATAACTAGACGTGTGTGGGCAATGTAGTCTGCGGTTAGGCCAGTAGTTCTTAACCTGGGTTCGACCGAACCCCAGGGGTTCGGTGAGCCAGTCTCAGGGGTTCGGCAGAGGTCCTCCGAAACGCATTAAAATTTTGTACAAAAAATTGTTTTATATATATTTTGTATTTGCAAGCATGCGTTTTCGCAACTAGTGAACATCAAAACAAAGAAAAAGAGCAGGCTTGCATGCGAAAATGATATGAGGGTAGCCCTTGCCAAAACAAAGCCACGCATTTCTAAGATCGTCGCCCAAAAACAAGAACAAAAAACGCATTAAGATGCAATTCCGCTGATTGTGCATTATCTGTGCACTTCCTTTTGTGTGCAATTTTTATTAGAATTTTGTTTTTCATTCTTTGCACGCTTTCCAAATATAGTCTTGAATGTTGATGCAATATGTTTTATTTTTGGATTAATTAAAATTGATTTGTTTTTGCCAAATTTGAGGGGTTCGGCAAGTGAGCAATGGGTTTCGTTAGGGTTCGGCGCCTCTAAAAAACTTAAGAACCACTGGGTTAGGCGGTCAGTCTACAGATCAATCAGTTTGCTTCCTGTTTGTTTTTCTCTTTCTTCCTCTCTTTCTTTCGGTCTCTTCCCCTCTACCCTCTCACCCACTCTCTCTCCCTCCCCATCTCTCTCTACCCTCATACCCATCTTCTTTCTTCCTATCAGTGCCTGCCTTTATTGGTCCCCTTCTTTATCTCTGCCTCTCTGTCTCCCTTTATTATTTCTCGCTGTTTTTCTCTCTCGCTCATCCGCTCTTTCTCTCTTTCTCTCTCTGTCTGTCTCTGGCTCTCGCGCTCTGTCTGACTGTCCGTCGCTCTCTGTTTCTCCCTGTCTCTCTCCCCCCGCTCTCTCTCTCTCTCTCTCTCTCTCTCTATTTCCTTGAAACGTAGCTGCTACTTGTTGTTGCTGCTGCTGCTGTTGTTGTTGTTGTGTGTTGCTGTTGCTTGTAACACGTCTATTCGTTGTCCGGTAGGTGTCGCCGGCGGAAGTGACCTGGAAGAACTACCTTCACTGTAGAGTGAGCGACAACATGGGATGCATTGTTACTCAGCCAGACCCCAGAAGTTCGCAGACTCGGGGCTTCAGCACGAATGATAGTGAACTCTCACATAGGAGATAACTATCAGTTACACGTGTCTTCACTATACGAACGGCTTGTATCTTATTACTTAACTGCTAATTAAGTTAAATAATTCTTCCTTATCCCGTCGAACTCTAATAGTATATGAAACACCGAGTCGCCTTTCCTCGTGCTACATATTATATCTACATACAGAAACACCATATGCAGATGCTGTAGTTGCAATTCATATAGGAAATGTTTCTTTATGGAGGTACTCTAATATGCATAGCATTTCGCTACCACTTTACCTGCAGCCGGCTCGGCCACAGCTCGGCCGGTTATAACCTAGACTCGTACCCGGTAGACAGTTCCACACGCTAGACTAACTAACGTCATGTGACCGCACAAGGATAATTGCCGGCATCGTGAAGTGGCGACACGGCGGTACAGTCTCGTTATAACCCTCCTAGCTAGAAACTCGAAACTAGAAAACTAGTTCTACCTAGGAAACTCAAACTGAAACCCTCCTCCTGCCACAGCACTGGGCAGACCCGTTTGATGAGTCCATATCTGCACAAGGTTGGGCAGTGGTGTTCATTCGTTGTAATTTCATATTTGTTTGCAGGTAAGCTGTAACCTGGTAGTACTCTATATAAACATTGACGATATTTCTGGGCTCTTAACGTCTCGGCATGACGGCACCATTTTTGCGGTTCTCAATTAACAAGTATGCGGTTAGTGAATGATGACAGTATGGGTTATTGGTTTGGATCGAAGTATGAACGATGTTAATTAAGTAGTTTCTATTCTTTAGTCTTTAGTCTTTCTTGTTAATTCATTTTGATTTTCCATTTTTCCTATACAGATATGCAGTTTGCCTGATCACTATAATGGTATCTGTAACTAATCAACAGAATGTTTCATCGACCAATCCACACATAGGGAATTGTGGGTCAGTTTGAGTGTTCCGCACCAAAATACCCTTTCGCATGCTCGAACGTCCGATTGCCGGCAGGAAACAACAGTGCTGTGAAATAACATACGTGTATAGGGCAAATGATAAAGAAAAATTGGATAAGAAGAAGTTTATTAAAGTAACTGCGCGTAGGAACACGGTATTTAAATACCTCTTTTGAAATTGCTATATGTGTAATCCTAAAATGAATATTTGGATGCATAGTAGGCATATCTTTGTAAATGTCCCCATAGCATTGTGTCATGCAGTCGGCCCACTCATGACACTAGAAAACACGATTTTTTGATTTAACTCCCGTATACCACACTGTTAGTTCGACCTCTTGAACAATTTCGGGTGAAGGACAACATTATGTGACCGCTTCCATCTTGATCATTGCGAAAAGCAGTTATTCCGAAAGTAGAATACACAGTCAACATGTTCCACTTAACACGTAACACGTCCTTGTACTTTAACTAAACTTTTACTATACAGTAGGTTTCTATTCTCTATTTTTGTGCAGTCATCTTTATCTTTTGATGATGTTACTTTTCAATCGGCAATGTCACACCAAGTAAGCAAACCAAACCGTACGCAGCAACGTTTTTTCTGTCCAACAATTGAATCAATACTCAGAAATACTCATAATTTCAGTGTCATACATACTGTAACGCAGCATGTACACGTGCCCGAATAATGTCACATAAAATAACCTTTGAAACGGTTGAATCCAGTGTCATGAAAACAGGGAAAATTTTCAACAAAGGAACTTGCTCATATCATGTGCCGGAGACTTTCATAATCGCAGCAGCTTTCACACCCCTTTGCTTTACCCCTTTGTTCAAACTGGTCTTTTATGAGTCGCTTCAGTGGGTAGATGATAACGCTGCTGTGCTGCGTTCTTCTTTTTTTATTTAATTATAACAGTGGACAAAAAACGAGTGATATAGCTGTCAATTTTGGATATATGTTTATAGCAGAGGGTTTCCAATCTTCATATCCTTTATTGACAATTTTTGTTTATAATTACTAATACTATAATAGGGAAAGAATTTCCTACTTATTTTCTTATCGTCAGAATTTGATAAATTCTAGGCTTACCTTTCACATAATTCGTTAAATTACTAGCGCGATACGCGTCGTTGGCTGGCGAAATCAGTGCCGGTAAACTCGGTTGGTGACCGCGCTTCCTTGAAAGGAATGGCAAAAATTTTTTTTACTGTATCTATCCATGCATCCATCCCATTCATTCATCCATGCCATCCCATCGCACCGCATCCCCATCCCCATGCCTGGCTTGCCATGTACTATTCCATCCGATTCCATGCCATCTGATCGCATCGCATGCCATCCATGACATCCATGACATCCCATGCCATCGTATCGAATGCCATCCGATCCCATCCGATCTATGCCATCGCATGCATCCCATCGCATGCCATGCCATCCCATGCCATCCGAAAGTGCAAAAAACAATAAGAAATCAAAAAACATTAACAAATAAAAAAGTATAAATACTTGACTAATAGTACACAGTACGCAGAAGTGAATCAGTAACAAGTACGTGATGCAACACGCACAATTCACAGATAATATGAATATGTTTACTTGCTAGCCGGCGTGATGTTTTCAACTGGTATCCGGAGGCCCGATGTGAAATGCAGCGCTGCTAACGTAATCCGCTGCGCGTCATGCCTTCACAGGCCTTGCGGAGTATTTTCGTAGACACAGAGAAGTTACGTTCTCGGCCGGTTTTCGCTTTACACTACTGCTGCACAGCTGCGGCCCAAACCAACCAGCTTATTTGCGAACCCTAAAACAGGTGTAACCCGATATAATACTATATTTATTCTACTACTATATATATATATATACTATTATATATACGCTATTATACCGTCTTCATACATTGAAGCTGTTGCTGTGTGTGCGTGTTTGCCATTTGTTGTCGGTCTTTGACAGTTCATGGTTGTCAATAAGTCAATAGGTCGACAACGCATGGTTGCCGGAACCCTGGGACGCTCTGCTCTTGCCGGGACCACTGTGTAGTGCGTGTGTGTGTTCTGCGTGTCGTGTGTGTCGTGTCCTGCTGTAGTGTTGTGCTGTGTGTGAGTGTGTGTGTGTGTGTGTGTGGTGTCGTGTGTCGTGTGTGTGTGTGTGATGATCGACTTGTGCCCCTAGAATTTCTCCGACTGTTCGCTGGAGCTATGGATCGTGCGCTGTAGCTATGAATCGGCGCACGGGCTCCATAGCTGCCAGCGCTCCATTCTGTCGTAGGACGGTTCCCAGCGGTCGCTCGGCCTGCCCTGCGGAAACTCGCCGCGCAAGTCCAGCCGCTCAGCGGATTAGGACACACAATCATGGTTTGCTTCTCTACTACCGATAACTGCAGTTTGGCTCTCCTATGCCTACAGGTTTAGCACGGGATGGAGCAACGAAAGCAGCGAGAGCTTCATACTGTCGAACGTGTTTTTTTGTTCAAAAGTCCTTATCCCTCGCAGAAGGTGGTTTCGATGCCTCGACAATTCGTACTCGCAGTTTTTACATCGTGACACGAGAAAAGACGATGAGTGTGTTTTGTACCGGAGCTGTTAAGTGTTGATAACGCCTGTTATGCGGCCTCTATCAACACCTGTAGTATACATGCACCGACAGTTCATTTTTAGCCTTCTCTGTATGACTTCGCAGAAGCGACACGTTACGTTTGATGACTCCATGTTATCGTAGTGTGTAAAGGTCACGTCTTTGATTCCCGATTGATCTCGTTGATTTAATTGAAATACGTAGAAAACATTACACATTGCGAAAATAACATTCTACATTAACTGGCTGTCAATAGTTAAAGAACCATTGCACATCTGGATGCCGAATTTGTTAAAGTCACCCCCAGGGCGGCACTGTGCATACTATCATTATTGTATAACATTCGAAAAATGCTCGTTCTTTTATACTACCCGGAAGCGGTAACTCGCGATTAACGTACGGTCGTATTAGCGCAGGCCTGGTCGGGACCACCCGCTCTGACTCATACCACTCTCGCGCACACACAATACCACGCTCGTCGCCAAATACTCCACAGACAACCTACGACCGCCAAGCCGCCGGCGGCGGCGCAACGCACCACACCACATGCACGCGATGCTACATTACGTATCCTACGTCCGTATAATACGTCCCGCCGGCACCGTTCGGTGGGACGTTGTCACCTCACACTATATGAATGGTCCGTGGATAATGTTGACTTAAACCGAGACCACGTCACGACGTCGATCACAGCATTATATAGGCACGGCAGTGCGTCCGCACACGGCTTGGAAACACAGAACACTTCTACCGTATAAAAAATAGTATTGCTGGATCTGTGCGTTTTAAGCTATTAAAATGTCAACGATGATAACGCGTCTACTGTATCACTTTCTCTTCCTCAGCTCCTCTCCTGATGTTTACATTAGCTTTGCAGCGGACTCGTGTTATTGTCTACCTTCTGTGTACCCCTACCAGGGGCCTGTTCTGAAGTGCGAGCGAAAGTTATCTCAATGACTGACATCCTGACAGCGCGCGAGCCAATGCTACCCTAGTAGCTCATACGCTTACACCATGAATAATATAAATGCTAATCGAACGCGCACTGTGATATAAACTGTTGCCAAGTGTACGACAATCAAAAAGAGGGCGCCTCACGTTAGCGTCACCATGACAGCAGTTCTTCTATGTGATACGGACGGCTCTGCACTGGTGTTCGTTGGGTCGACGCTGGGCAGGCCGGGTATGTCGTATCTGTGCGTTACGTGGCAGCGGCGTCATATGTGCTCCCGCGTAGGATTTCCTTACTCGGCCGTATTTTAAAATAACGGTTATCGCTATGTCCAACTGCAGGAAGTCATAGTGCCCGGCCGCCCCAGGCTACTGTGCGCTAGACAGCACCGATCACCGTTGGTGGCATTGTCATGTGTCTTGTCGTATACGTAGCACGGGGCCTAAAATCTGGGCCGACCTTATAAAATATTCACTTCGCTCTCGGGGATCAGCACTCGGGCGCCGCCTGACGAATTCCCCGGAGTTCCTAGCTATGCTAACTGACTGGGTATGTGCGGCCCGCCTGCTGCGTTCCATGGGCGCGAATGCCCGCCGGCCTTCTTCGCGCAACGGCTTTCCGTCGACGCCGCTATCGTGGCGTTACTAACTTGCGATGCGTAATTTCGTGATTCGTGGTTATACGGTGCGTGGACGTTGCCGATGGAGAGAACTTGGAAATTCTTGTGTGTGCGCGATTGCCCATCTTACACCTGTCCGAGCGTCAGCGCGTCTATAGGATTTTTTATCGACCACAACTTAGAAATTTCTCATATGCCTGGCTGCAGCTGCAGGCCATTCGCCCATACATTAGCATAGCTGGGCCATTCCGGGAATCGCATTTCTCCGATACCCGCGTTAATGCTGCTATGACGCGAAGTGAATTGTTTATATCGCTTATTTCTAGATTTCCTAGCCTATTGCACACGATACCACGGTTGGCTGGGTACAAGAGCCCCTGCCCGCGGCCTTCAAGTCGATACGACTATAAAAACGGCGCGCCGAAGAAACTTCTATTTGCCGAGTCAACGTCGGACAACGTCTGCAGCGCCATTCGGCCCTAATTACATATAGCATCAGCTGCCGGAATTCGGGAATCGTCCGCCGATGCTGAGACGACGACAGCTTGAAATTTATATCCAAGTACTTTACCTATGTGCACTCACGCACTGTGGGCTGTACAAAAGCAAGGCGTCTGGGAGCAGTCTCCTCGGCTTCAGTCG